TGGCCAGTGGTGTTTTGATCTGAGAAGTCATAGGGATAGCAAATGGAATCATAGGGCAATTAGAGGACTTTTTCAGGAAATGTAGTGTTAATTTGATTATAGTTCCTAGAATAAGAAGTGGAATGAGTCAGAGTAGATGGCTGGAATTTAGTGTGACTAGTCTGGGCACCAGTAGTCAAGGTGAACTCTCACTAATCAGGAGCATGTGGCCTAGGTGGAGTCTGGAGTGTCCAGTAGGAGGCTGAGGGTGGAAGACAGCAGCTTAGCAGGAAGATGGTCATCATGTTCACCAAAAAAATGACATATCCTGGCCAAGTATTTAAGGTTTATTGCGTTTAGCTATACATCTACAACATCATTCCTCCTCTAGGTCATTCTGCCTTGACATCTTCCTCCTTCCTACCCCCCTTCCTTTACACTTGTTTTCGTCATCTGATGCCTTGCCATCACTTGGCCAAACTCATTTTCATCATTTCTTTCAAGATCTGATGCAGACTCACGTTCTCCACGAGGCTTCTCCCCCTAACTCTATCTTATCTTACCTTGTTCAGTAACTATTTATTACATATCTACTGTGTGTAAGGAATTGCCTTAAGCAGAAGGAGATGAAAAATAATAGACCCTTCCTCTGGAAACATAAAACCTACATTTTAAACAAATGTCTGCTTTTAGAAGTGGAGATACATGTAGACAAATGAGAAAAACATAAGCTAGAATGTGAAGATCCAGACAAACAGTTGTAAAGAGATTTGGGGAATAGAGAAGTCACTTCATCTAAGGGAGTGGAGGATAGGAGAACTAGAGAAGGAAGAAAAGAAGGACGGAAAGAACTAAGGAATGAAGGAAAGAAGGAAAGAAAGAAGGAAGGGAAAGAAGTTAAGGAGGGAAAAAAGAAAGGGAAGGGATAAAGCGTGAGTTGGGCTTTGAACAACGAGAAAGATTTCAATAGGTGGAGATGAAGGGAAAATCTGTTCAAGACATGGGGGATAGCTTTCATAGATCAGAACAGCAGTCCATGATGACTTTAGGGAACAGTCAATGGTACAGTTTGGTTGGAATGTAGAGTGTATAACAGAGAATAGTTTGTAATATGGCTAGAAAGGTAAGCTGGTGTCAACATGGTACCATGGAAGGAGAGCTGGAGTCAGAGGACTGGGGTTCATATAGTAGGTCTGACAACTACTACCCATGAGACCTTAATTGTCCTTTCTTCTCTCTGGGGCTATTTCCTTATCTGTAAAATGAGAGAATTAAAATAGATGGTTTCTAATGTCCTTTAGAGGCAGCTAGGTGGCACAATCAATAATCTGAGTTAAAATTCGGCCTCAGACACTTACTAACTCTGTGACCCTGGACAAATCATCTAACCTCAGTTTCCTCAACAGTAAAATGGGGACAACAATAACATCTAATAGTAACAGGATTGTGTGGATCAAGTGAGATAATATTTGTAAAGTGCTTACCACAGTGCCTGGTCCATTATAGGTACTTAATAAATCCTTTCATTCCTTCCTTCCTTCCTTTTTTCTCCTTTCACTCTCTCCTTCCTTCCATCCTCCCTCCCTCCCTCTCTCCCTGTTTCCTTCCTTCCTTCCTTCCTTCCTTCCTTCCCTCCCTCCCTCCCTCCCTCCCTCCTCCTTCCTTCCTTCCTTCCCTCCCTTACAGTGCTATATCCATAGCTTCAAATTCAAAGGCATAGTATGTTTGTATCTTATCCAGTTGGTAACTAATAAAGATTTTTGAACAGGTAAATGACATGGTCAGAATAATGAAATGGAAGATTATTTCGACAAATTATGTTACTCTGTTGCTGGTGATTCATCCTTTGAATCCCTCATTGCTTTTATTTCCTGTTTGATTCCTGTTATTTATGCTTTACTATTCTACTTTTTTTTCCTTGGTTTTGGCTAGGCAATGGGGTTAAGTGACCTTCCCAGGGTCACACAGCTAGTATGTGTCAAGTGTCTGAGGCCACATTTCAACTCAGGTCCTCCTGACTCCAGGGCCAGTGCTCTATCAACTGTACTACTCTACTTCTTTTGCATTTTCTTCACTGCTTACTGCAATATCGAGCATCTAGAAGAGTCTTAATAAATGTGGAATAAATGAGGAAAGCAATAAGTGAATTTAGGTGAGATACAAGGAAGAACTTCTAGAGTAGCTGAACACAGAAACAGTTTGACACTGATTTGTCTGATTGCCAAGAGATCTTTCCAGTTAGGATAAACACATTCATCCTACTCTGAAGACAGGGGAATGAACTAGAAGGTTGTGGGGACTTTGAGATTAAGACTTCTTACACTATTAATTTAAGATCATTAGCCTCATTTCAGCATTATTCATTTCACAGCATTTGCCTTTGCTATTTATTATACTTCTCTGATGTCATTTCTTATTTATGATTGCTGTGAAATAGCATTGCCTTGGGGTAGAAAATAACAATTTTTCATGTTTATAATCATTGTCCAGAATGTTTTCAGTTAAAATGTGTTTACTGGGAAAAGAAATGAAAGTGTGGCTTACCCAAGTATTATTTAAATGATAAGACATCTGTATTATTAGAGATTCCAACCACTGGTTATCTACTCAATGTCCCTTCCAGTTTGAATACTTTATGAGGCTACCTGAGTTGACAGGTTCAGAGCACACACAGCCTGACTGCTATCTTCAGCTCATGAGACCATACTCAAGAGACAGAATCAGCTCTTAGGAGAGTATAAGGCCCAATCTTAAGGAGAATGGGACCTAGGCAATCTCACTTCATCTCTCCTTGCCTTTACATTTTTCAATAAGTGAAATTTGGTATAGAAAAGAAGTCACAAAGGGCAAATGTAGATCAATAGAGTGTATGCATTGCATGAGTGCGTATTGGAAGGAGAAGAAAGGATTCTAGTAGATTTCTAGCTATAAGGGAAAGCAGATATCATCAAAGTCTAACCTTCCCATTTTACCCAGAAAGTTGAATTACATAGTCAGGGTCACACATGCCATATTCTGTTTTTATGTTACTTCACTCAGTTCCTTCTTTGAGCAATAACTCCCAACCTCCTCCTCTTCCACAAGCTGCTTCCTGGCCAGCCTCAGCACATGATTCTCCCCAAAGGCAAAGCCAGCAACCTGTCTATTCTGAGTACTCAGAATGGGTGTTTCTATACAACAGACATTTATTTCTCTGGGGTAGAAATGACATATAACTGGTTTGGCTTAGCTAATAGTATCATGTGCACTTTAAATGGTGAATTGCTTTGAGCTAACAGCTGGAAGTTGGAGGAGGGGAGGTGGGGGGAAATAAACCCAGAATAGCCTCTTCCAGGTTTTTTCTCTCTCACTATAAAAAGTCATATCCCATATGGTACTATGGAAGGGAAAATTAGGAAAATGGATCCAGTTGCATAAAGAAAATTAAACAAAAATGTAATCAGAAAAAATACTTTTTAATTTTTATGTTTATTTCATTTTCAAACAAAAACACAGTATCATTCTCCTTTGGGTTGCCATTCAAACACCTTCTTCCTCTACTGGCCCTTATGAATATAATAATAATCTGTACACCTTTCCTTCACAGCAGGGCAACTGTTCTGTTGATTTCATTCCTTATTTCTAAGCGGGAGGAGACCATAGTCCTGGTGTAATCCCAATGAATCACACAAATTCATTATTCAAGAGAGCCCCTATTTGGATTTTTATAACCAGCATTTAAAATCTCAGCTAAATAGCAAGTGGTGTTGCCTTTCTTTCTATCCCCAGTGCTTAACACAATGCCTTGCACATCAGTAAGTGCAGAATCAATGCTTGTGGAGTGACTGCTGTTGCAATCCATCCCTTTTCCAGGCTGACTAGTCCTAGACCTGAAAGTGCCTAATGAAAGTCTGGACCATGAGGCTGGCTGCCCAGAAGGCATCTCCTTTCTGTTGTGATTCCCTTCCCACTGCCAAATCCCTTTCCTTTCCCCTTCCTCCTTCCTTCCTTTTCCCATCTTCTCCAAAAGAGAAAAATGATGCCTAGGATTCCTGGGGTTGGGGGCAGCTTGGTGGAATGGTGGATAGAGTGGGAGGATCTGAGTTCAAATTCAGCCTCAGATACTTACCCGCTGTGTGACCCTGGGCAAGTCACTTAACCTGTTTGCTTCAGTTTCCTCAAACCATTCCACTTTTTTTTTCCATTCCACTATCTTTGCCAAGAAAATCCCAAATGGGATCACAAAGAGTTGTACAAAACTGAAACAATGCAGCAACAGGATTCCTAGGAAGGAAGATGAGCCCTACATTCCAAGCTTAGAATTCTGGGTCCTGCATTCCAAGTCATTTTGTGAGCCAATAACAGCTAACATTTCTGTTGCATTTACTTGTATCCCACATAAGCTCTTTAAAATTATTATCTCATTACTATATGCCAGGCCCTAAGTGCTTTATTATCTCATTCCTATATGCCTGGCCCTAAGTGCTTTATTATCTCATTCAATCTCACAACAACCCTGGGAGGTAGGTGCTATTATTATCCCTATTTTACAGATGAGGAAACTGAGCAAACAGCTGTGGTGCAAACTGCACAACAAAGGGACATCTGGGTCCCAATCCTAATACATAAAACTCTCTACCCCCCAGCCCCCGACCCCACCCCACCACGTTCCTCGCGCCATGTTTTTCATTCTTGATCGCTACCGTTTGATGCAACCCAGGATGGAGGGAAGAAGCTTGGGCAGTGGATGGGGATTGTTTTAAGCAAGCAAGTAAGGTGGCAAATAGTCATCCAGGCCAAGGTCCCGCCCCACGGGAAAAGGCCCCGGCCGCAGGAAGGCTTTCACACAGAGGTGGGCAAGGGGTAGGTGGGTGAGTAGGCGTGGAGGGGGAGGGAGTGCTGCAGTCCCCCTCCCGGGCGCCAGGGGGTGTGAGAGTGAGGGCTTCCCCGGCCTCCTCCTCACCCCACCCCACCTCGCCCAGCCCCCTAGGCCCTGCCCAGCCCAGCCCAGTCCCCACTGCGAGCCCGCGCTCCGGGCCGAGGCTCCGCGAGCATGGGGGAGAGGTACGCGGCGCTGCAGCGGGGGCAGATCCACCTGGACTACATCCAGACCAACAGGTGAGCTGCCGGTCGGGGCGCTGGGGGAGGGGCGCTGGGGAGGGGCGCTGGGGGAGGGGCGGGGCCGCCTTCCCTGGAAGAATCTGGGGTTTTCACGCGAATAACCCTCTCACCCCCTGACCCCCACCGCCCAATCCTCACCCCAAAACTCCTGGTTTTCTGAGCTGGGAACGGCCCAGTGGGGGCCCTCCCTCAAGTAACCGCCCTTCTCCTAGTCATTTAATTATTTTTAAGACTAGTTTAGGTCAGCAAGCCCCCATCCCCACGCCAGGTGTTACCTGGCGTGTGCAGAACCCCTCACCCCATCCCCCCCACCCCAGTTTCCCCCGGGGTTTCCTGCGTCTCTCCTTAGGGTGCTGATAAACCCCCACAGACTGAGGCCTTTTTCTACTAGATTTTGGGGTACCTTGGAGACCCCCTCATTTTAGAGGTGAAATTGGGGTCCAGAGCCATTATCCTTATTTTACAGATGAGGAAACTGAGGCAGAAGTAAAGTGACTTGTCCAGGGTCACACAGCTAGTAAATATCTGAAATTGGATTTGAATTCAGGTTTTCCTAACTCTGGGCCCAGCACTCTACTCACTGTGCCACCTAGCTGCCCTAAATGACATTATATTGGTTGAGGGCCCTTGGCCTTAGGGATAGCTGATGATGAAGATATATGTTGGGTTTTTTTAAAATCCCAAGTGTATGTGATGTACTACATAGTTGGAGAATAGTAACATTGCTTTTGTTGGGGATTTTTTTAATAGAGATAGTAAGCAGAGAAAATGGGACTAGATAATAGTCTTTCTCTGCTTAATTCTGGCTGCTAATGCTTTTATTCTGCTTTTTCCCCCTGCTTTCAATCAATGGTTTGATAACTGAGTAAATTAAAATGACAACAGCCTCAGGAAAAAAATCAGATGTAAATTCACTTCTTCTTTTCTACCTAAAGTAAATTTTTAATGGAGGCATATATCAGTAGGGAAACTCCAGCATTATTTTGCCATGATCATTTCATTCGTAGTAATAGTACACCCCAGCTTACACAATCAATAGGCTTCCAAAATGTTGGCCAAAACCTTTTATCTTTTAATATTACCGAAACATTTATCTTTTAATTTGAATTAAATTTGAATTTTATTTTAAATTACCGGAAGAGCTCATTGCTTGGAGAAGTCATGGTGTAATGGACAGAATGCTGGTCCTGGAATCAGAATGGTATAGGTTCAGATCCCACTTTAGGATTTCTCTGAACCTCAATTTCCTTATTGGCAAAATGAGGATAATAATATCATCTAGCCTATGCAGTAGTATTTGGGTACTTCTTCTTATTTGAGAATCCCATCACACTGCTGAAATACGGGTTTGAAAGCAACCCTCTTGGAATTCCAATCAATCAATCAACATTTATTAAGCACCTAATATGTGCCAGGCCTTGTTCTAAGTGCTGGTTCCGCCAGGGAAAGTGTCCAGATGTCTTGGCAACAACAATAACAACAATAATAGTAATGATAACTAACATTCACATAACACTATGTATCAGGTACTGTGCTAAGCACTTTATAATCATTTCATTCGAGCCTCACAACAACCTTGGGACATAGGTGCTGTTATTATCCCTGTTATTCAGCCAGCTGAGCCTCAGCTCTGAAGGACTCTTGAGCTTTGAGATAAAGGAAGCAACCCCAAGTAAGTCAACTGAGCTGTCGGTGCTGTTTACATCCCCCTTCCCCCATATGTAAAGTTCTCCTCTGACCTTTAAAGCCATGGATAAATATTAGCTGTTACTATTTTTGTAAAGCAAGTGATCCTATTTTAGCTTAAATCTGGATTTTCACAGATCAGGTTTGCTAAAAGTGAGAAACCTCTATTAAACTTGCAGGTGCTTATATAAATGTGAAGTGGTATTATTATTATTATTATTGTTACTAATTATAAGCCAGTGTGGTATGATGGATAAACGAGTGGTATTGAAGTCAGGAAACTCTTTACTTTCCTCTTCATATGTATGATGGCTTTGTGATTATGAGTAGATCACTGAACATCTCAGTGCCGAAGCCAGCTCTTTAAGGCTGTAAATTGCAAAAGAGATGCTGATCTGCACTGGGGAAGGGAGTTTCCACATCCAATAGTTCCCTTTGCCAATAAAATCACAGGTCTGGCCCAAAATTATTATTATTAACTTTAGTAGTTACTTTTAACAAAGATCTTAAAGCTGCCTTTACCTTAGGGGCCTTTCCACCCCCATCTATGAGATACACTTAAAAGCTAGTATAAGCATATGCTTTAAAGTGAATTTTAAGTTACATGCATAATTTCCTATGAGCTGATACAATTTGGAATCTCTGCGGTGTTGTAGGTAATCTTTTCAGCTGTACAAATGAGCCGATGATTATTTAAATGAGCCCCTCTAGCTTCTAACCACCTCTGCCTAATAGGCATGAGAAAATTACATTGAAAACCTTTCCTTAACGCTGATTTCTGGCTCTTGATTGAAATGCCTGGACCAGTAAATGAAAAAAGGCAAATACAGGACTGTCAGTACTCAGAGTTCACCTATACAGAGCTGATTAAAGATTCTAAAATTCTAAAATTGGGAATATTTTCTCTATGTAGCTTCTACAGTAGTGGGCATCATCAAGAGAGTGACCCCAGACAGTGATTTAAGGAGATATTTTAAAAGCAGGTTTTTTTCCCTTTTTTTCTGCCTCAGAAGTTGTAAGGATTCCAGGATAAGTATAGCTTATCAGGGCAAACAGGAGCACCCCCTTTCATTTGCTGTAGCAGCAGATGGTACCTCTTGGCTATACAGAAATGTGCTTGTGGGCCTTTAATCCTTAGTCTTCTTCAGAAACTAGCCTGTTTTAAATCAAATTTTAATAAACAACTCACTAGACACATTATAGAGTGTTTATAAAGCATTTTGCAAACTTTAAGGACTATGTATGATAGCCACTCTGTCCCTTCCCCCACAATGTCTCTGTTTTACAAAGAGCTGACCGAATCATTTTGCTAATCTATTCTTATCCTGGGACTCTTAATGTAGGGTGTCTACTTCAGAACCAGTACAACTCAGAAAAACCTGTCTCCAGAATAATTTTTTAATAGGTTAGCTGTGTGGGCCTGGATGAATTGCTTCTTTGCTATTTTTCATGTGTGTCCACAAGGGTTATGACCCTTTCTCATCATGTCCTGGCTGTTTTATCATTTACCTTCTTTGTATTCCATCAGCACAACTCACAGCTTCCTTTTTGGAGCCCTTGCTGAATTACTTGACAATGCAAGGTAAGAAATGCTTGTGAACTTAAGTTTGTTGAGGGAAATTTATGACGTAAATCCAGTGTTGGTGGACTTAAAGATGATGATGTGATCATTTCTCCTAGGCATCGCTGCAGGGTTATTCACTGTAATATTTAGACATTGTCAACAGCCTTTCTCCAGTCCATTGTCCATCCAGCTTACAAATTGATACTCCTAAAGCGCAGGTCAGACCATGTCCATCCTCCGCTCAGGAAGCCTCACTGGCTGCATGTTGCTTGCAGAATTAAGTACACTCTTCTTTTGGCATTTAGAGTCCTTAATAATCTCTTTACAACCTGGTGTTTTCAAACTGACTTTACATCAGTTTCCCTTACAAATTCTGCTACAACTAAACTGGCTAACTTACTGTTTTCTTTCTGTGATGTTCCATCTTCTGTCTGTGGGCCTTGGCACAGACTCTGCCATGCCTAGAGTGCTCTCCCTTCTTGTCTCTGGCTCTTGGAACCCTTACCTCCTTTCAACTCATTTCGAGTGCTACCTTCTACAAATGGTCTTGCATCTTCTTCTCCAAAAAGTCTCTATCTTCCTTCCATTCTAACTTCCTTCCTTCCTTCCTTCTTTTCTTCCTTCCTTCCTTCCATCCTCACTCTCTCCCTTTCTTCCTTTCTCCCTCTTCCCTTCTTTCCTTCCTTTCCTCCTCTCTCCCTTCCTTTCATTTAAATATATGTATGTATCTTAATACATGTGTATATGTATACATATATAAATTATATATAATGTGTGTATGTGTGTGTGTGTGTGTGTGTGTGTACACATACTGTTTGAATTCAGCCTCAGACATTTACTAGCTGTTTGACCCTGGGAAGATCACTGAACCTTTGTCTACCTCAGTTTCTTCAGCTGTAAAATGTTGAAAATAATAGCACCAACCTTACAGGGTTGTTGTGAGAATCAAATGAGATACCTCTAAAGTGCTTTGTAAACCCCCAAAATGCTATATAATAATAACATTATTATTATTACTTATTCAGGTTTGTGTTGTTTTCCCCAGTAATATGTAAGCTCCGTGAGGGCAGGACTGTTTAACTTTTTATTCTGTATCTCCAGATCCTAGCAAAGTGTATGGTACGTAGCAGGTTTTTAGTATATGCTTGAGGATTGAAATTGAATAAAGAAAGCAACAGAGCAGAGAATGTGCTTCATGTGAATTTGTCACCAAGGTGAATTGGCTTTCTCTTTGGGTCTAAAATCAAGAGAAGCAGACATTTATTAGGATGTCTCTACAGTGAGATACTTATCCATTCCAGAAATATTTTTAGGTATTTTTATGCAGCTAGATAGTAAGGGGCAGGGTGAACACCCCCCCCCCCCATTTGATTCTCAGAGCTCTTGATCTTTTGTCAATGATAAAACTCAAATGTGACAGTTGCCCATGAAATGTTGACAGATCAGCATATTGCCCTCTATGGAAGATTCATAGGAGGACTCTGGAAGAGAGTGATGCTGTCAACTTTGTGCAGCTCTGCCTTACTTAAATCTAATTCAAGACGTGATGTCATTGGTCCTCTTGGAAAATGAAGGACAAACCACAATGACAATATGCAAGTTAATCTGTTACGCTCTAGAGAGATGAAGGACTACAAAGGTAAATAGGACAAACTCCCTGCTTTCAAGCAATTTGCCATCTAGTATGAGAGATAAGAAGTTATTATTATTTTGATTTGTACTTGCAGTTGGGGAGTCCCCGTTATAAAGGCTTTTATCACTGTTGCATTAACTGGTTGTAGGTGGTGCTCATCAATTGGGGAATTACTGAATAAGTTATGGTAGTTGAATGTAATGGAATACCATTGTGCTGTCAGAAATGACAAGAGGGATAGGTCCTGAGAAACCTGGGAAGACTTTTATGAACTGATGCAGAATAAAATGAGCAGGAATAATTTATACTGTAACAGCAACATCATAAATACAAATGCCTGTGGAAGATCTGAAGATCAAGACAATTATCAACTAAGATTCTGGAAGACTGATGGTGATCTGTGCTCCCTACCTCTGCCAGAGAGGTGATTGATTGAAGATGCAGAATGAGACATATGTTTTTGGAGATGGACAATGTAGGAATTTTTTTTTTGCTTAGCTGTGCATATTTTTATAACAGTTTTGTTTTTCATATTTTCCTTTAAAGATGGGGGTTAGGAAGGAAGGAAAATAAATACTTGTTTAATTGAAATTTTTTTAAAAAATAAAAGACAGGAAGAATTTAACTTTAAAAAACTGATCTATAACTTAGCATCTTAGAGAGTTGTCTGTAGGCTACAGGGAATACCTGTTCAGTGTCATACAGCTACTCTTTTAGAGGCACAACTTGAACCCAGGCCTTCCTGACTCCAGGGCCATTTTTATATACTATGTCACACTTGCCTTTCCACAAATTTATAACACAAAAATAGAATTTGTTAAGTGCATAAGTGAGGTACAAAGAAGATAGATGCACTTTCAGGGGAGGGAAAGGTCACTTCTGATTGGTGAGGTTACAGAAGGCACTTTGGTAAAGGTAGCTTTTGAGCTTACCTTTAGAGTTTCAGTGAACAGAGATGGTAGGAAGGACATTCATTCATTCAATAAGCATTTATTAAGAGCCCATTAGGTGCAAGGTTTTGTCCTAAGCGTGTGGTAGGGATGCAAATATAAAACAAACATCAGTGCTTGCCCTCAAAGAGCTTACATTGTTCTGTGGAAATGCAACTTTTACACAAGTAAAGAGGAACAAAATAATGTGAGGAGAGAGAGAGAGTACTAACAATTAGGGGGCTTCAGTAAAGGCTTTCCGGACACAAGTATCAACATGAGAAAAGTCAGAGGAGTTTACAACAAATGTGTTCTATGCAGGGTATGGCAGGTAGTTCTCTTTGGCAGAGGCTTACAGCGTGGGAAGGAGCATAGTATAATAATAATAGCTTAACATTTATATAGAACTTACTATATACCAGCCACTGTGCTAAGTGCTTTACAAATATAAATGCATTTAAATCTTCACAACAACCCTGTAAGGTAGGTGCTGTTATTATCCCCATTTTACAGTTGAAGAAACTGTGGCAAACAAATATGAAGTGACTTGCCCAGAGTCACACAGCTAGTAAGTGGCTGAGGCTAGATTTGAACTCAGGTCTTTCTGACTCCAGGCCAAGCACTGTATCTACTGTGTATTTATGTGTATCTGTATACATAAATGTATTTATGTGTGTTGACACTCAGTATGTATGTAAAATACAGCCATATAAACATACACAAAAGGGAAAAAGGGGTGAGGGAGATGGAAACAAGAATCAGAATATAGAATAAAAATGATTTTATTTTTTTACTTCATTTGCATACCTAGCACATAGCATAATGCCTGACACATAAGGACGTAACGAATGTTAATTGACTCATTTAGCTGAGGCAAATATAACCTCTGTCCCAGGAATAAACTGGAAAACTAGATTTCAAGAGTTAAAGGAAAGGTAGTATAACAGAGAGATAAGGTCAGTGTCTCTCCAACTCAAGGCCCCAGCAACTCACCTAGAAAATGTTAGCTATTCTGTAGTGGAGTAGCTCATTACAAAAGTATTTATAACTGGGCATGGTAGCACATGCCTGTGATCTTTGTTATTTGGAAGGCTGAGGCTGGTAGATTGCTTGAGTTTAGGAGTGCTGAGCTGCAGTGGACTGAAACTGATGGATATCTGTACTGTCTGGCCCCAGTTTGGTAAGATCCCTTTGGCAGGTCCAAGCTTCTGTGTTGATCAGTAGTGGGATCCCTGTACATCTAGCATGGATGAGATGAGATGATCAATGTGAAACAAACAAAAAGCTAAAGGTATTTATATATTTTAGAGTTGAATGGACCACTTAATGTCATTCCCCTGTAATCCCTGCCCTGCAAAAGCCCTGTCCTCACGTACCTCCTATCCTCTTCAAAGCCCCATCTGTTTATCTGGTATATTAAATATTGCCTAGATCTGTCTGGTGTGGTAATTCTGCGTTGTCTGGCCAGTAAAGAATAGTTGGATACTTTAGACATTTCATTAGATTTTCCTAATTTAGTAAAGATAAGTCTTCCTTTTACAACAGCAGAGTTTGCCACTTGTTTCAAAATATTCAGTAGTTTATTGAAACCTTCCATCCCTAATCTTCTTTTATTCTGTCTCATAATATCAGCTGCAGTTGCTTTTTAAACAGATTTCAATGCTGTACCACATGAGGTTGAAGAAATTGTTTGGATGAAAGCCAGGGAATTCTATTCTTTTTAAAGGGTTCTGGTAAAATTGCATTGTTTTAGGGACTTGAGTACTGAAGTAAGAATTACAGCTGCCTGTAACAAGCAGACACCATGGTTGAGTCTGGTTACCCAGGCCTGTACTGAGTTTACAGGGAGGCTGAGGCTAGTGGGTTGTTTGAGTTCTGGAGCTCTGAGCTGTAATGGGTTAAGCCACTGGGTGTCCAAACTGAGTCTGTCATCTACACGATAAGCCCTTAGGAGTCAGGGGGTACCAGGCTGCATAAGGAGTGGCATACTGGCCCTCAAACAGAGAAACGTCTGTGCCAGTCAGTAGTTGGATTAGGGCTGAGTGACTACTGAACTTCTGGCTTGGGCAAGGTAGGGAGAACCAGTCTCAGAAATAAAAAAAAAAAGATACCAAATTATAAATATAGTGAGGAATAATGTAGCCTCCTCATTTTGGTTTCAGCAACCTTATTTATTATTCCAGGCTCCTCAAATTCCACTCTGAGGGAGATTTGCTAACAGGTGATGACAAGAACGCAGCTATGCATAGTCAGATGTGTTGGATACAGAGAAAGCAACTAGTTTTCATTTAGTTGATGTCTCGGGTTCTTGGAAGGCATGGAAAACAAATCTGAAATTTTCCAAATAGGAATCAATATTAGTGGCTCCCAAGAATGACTAAAAAGTATTATAAAGATTTATCAGAAAAATTCCCCCACAAATCATGTCAAATTTCCCACCACACAGCCTTTAGTCCAGTGTCTGGCACGTGGTAGATGTTTAATAAATGCTTGTTGAAGATAATGCAAGTGACACAATAATTATTTACATATAAATTGAAGGTTAGCTTTTTTGTTTGTTTGCTTTTATCAATGTTTCTTAATTGCAGAAATCTTTGCATTTTAAACCTATAATTTCTGGGTTTTGTCACTCTGGCAATGGAAAGTCAAAATATTGATATTAATTAAGTTTCTTGATCTGTTATGCTGCAGAACCTAGAAACTATTGAAGTGTCATTACTGTGAGTCTTTTGTGAAATCACAAACATTCTTAAGGGGAGAGTTTCCTGCTTGAAAGGCTTCTGGCACCTTTTGAGACTGCTGCCTTGTTCCTTAGCTTCAGTGCTCATTTTGTTTGAAAAAGCATAAGCATCGCTCTAGGCTGATCTCCTGAGCTAATATCTTTAGTTTTGTAATTTGTGATGCTGTTCTTTATTTTGGTGGGGTGAGTGATTTTTAAAAAAGTTGAGGGGGGAGTTTGAGTTAATTTTTAAGAATTAAAAAACATTGTGAGGCAGCTGGGTGGTGCAGTAGATAGCACACCAGCCCTGGAGTCAGGAAGACCTGAATTCAAATGCAGCCTCATACACAAAACACTCACTAGCTATGTGACTGAGCAAGTCACTTTACCCCAATTGCCGCACCAAAAACAAACAAACAAACAAAAAGCATTGGAAATTTGTGTCACCTGAAACGTATGTGTATATGTGTGTGTTTTTATGTATTTTAGATATTAAAAAGATCTCATTTAGAAAATCAGAAATTGTGGAGGCTCTCTTACCTCCTAGTAAGGTCAAGACTACTCAACAAGAAGTAGAAGAAATCTCCATAGTTTTTGCCTCATCCTTTTTTAGGTATACTGAGAAGATAACTAGCAGAAGTGTGGATCAGAGTCATTCACCCTGAATTGATCTCTACCATTCTTAGAGAGATACTCGCCCTTTAAATACCTTGCTAGTGCCCTGTGTCAAGCCCAAATCATAGAAGGAAGGGTTCTCAGAGGCCATCTGGTCCAAATCAGACCTGAAAAAAGAATCCCTTTCGACATCCATGACAAGTGGTAATGTAGTCTCTACTTAATGACTTTCAAAGATAGGCTGTCCTGAAGTAGGTCACTTTTGGACAGCACTGATTATTAGGAAGCCTTTCCTTGCATCAGGCCTATATCTAATTCTGCAACTTTCACCTATCTTTGGTATTCATGCCCTAGGAAGCCAAGAAAATTCCTCGTGGTAGTACTTCACATACTTGATCTCATGGTTCCTAGCTCTAAATATACCCAGTTCTTTCAGCATATCTTCAAATGTCATAGTCTCTAGGACTCTCATCTTCCTAGTTTACCATCCTTTAGGCATGTTTCAGTTTGTCAATTTCCCTCCCAAATATGGCACCCAGAACTCAATCCCACACACCAAATGTAGTCTGACAAGTTCAGAGTACATAGTAAGTAGGACTATGTTTACATCATCTCCACTTTCAAATTTATCCTTCTCCTCTCCCCTACTCACTCCCTTGGAAATCATCTTTTGTAACTCAGATTGAGTGTATGTGTCATGTATACATATGTATATGTACATACATATGTACGTATACATATGTACACACACATACACACTGAATCTCTTCAAAGAGATGCATTTTCTTGACTCTTCCCCTGGGTCGATTGCTCAGTATAATTATCTAGGATTCAATTTGTGTTTGTTCTTTCTTTTTATAGTCATTAAAACCTTATGTTATAGAAATGCTTGTTTTATTCCATAAATTAAAAATAAAGTGAATTTTTTAAAACCCTCAAGTATTTTCCACATGTATTGTTATCCCATTCTGTACTTGTACATTTGAATTTTTTGAACCCAAGAATACAAGCTTACATAAAACCCTATTAAATTTCATCATACCAGATTGAATCTGTCATCTTAGATTCCTCAGACATTTTTAGACTTCCAGCATATAAGCTATTCCTTCCACCTTTTATAATCATGCCATTTATGACTTTATCCAATTCACTAATAGAATGTAAGCTCCTTGAGAGAAAGAACTAGTTCATTATTTTCTTTGTATTCCCAACAACTAGCAAAGTAACAGGCACACAGTAAAGGCCTAATAAATGCTTGTTGATTGTAAGCTCCTTGAGGGCAGGGACTGTCTTTTGCATCTTTTTGTATCCCTAGTGCTTAGCACAGTGCCTGACACATAGTAAGTGCTTAATAAATGTTTATCGACTGATGAAAATGGTGAAGATAGATTCCTTGGTATCCAATAGAGATCTGTCACCATGGTGACATCAATCCATTAATCACTACTATTTGGGTACATTCAGTCATTTCCTAAAACACCTAATATGCTATCCTCATCGTCATCATCATCATCATCATCTAGTACATCTTTCTGTCTTATCCACAATGGTTCTGTGAAAAGAATTTGTCAAATGCCTTCTTGAAATCCATTTTTATGATACCAATGGCATTCTCCTGACCTACTATGCTAATAACCCTGCCAAGAAAAGAAGTGAGATTAGTTAGCAAATGACTGCTTGGTGTTTTTCTCCTTTTATTCAAGCAAATATTCATATAATCTAAAAATTAAAAGGGTTAAGGGTCAGAATTCCACAATCTTGAATCCGTGATGCTAAGAGTAATTCTTGAACTCAATTCTCTTCAAGCCCCTTTAGTTGAACTCAGTATAACCATACTCCTCTGTTTCCCAAAGTTTAGGCATTTGGAGACTTTTTGACATTGATAATATCCAAGTGAACAGAGGTCTTACCAGGAAAATAAACTAACAGTAAAAAGCCTTTTAGAAATTGTTTGAAGCCATTGAAGTGAACTTCTCTACATTTTTGATTTTTGATAATGGGTTATAATTATTGTACATCAGTAGTTCAGTTTGACTTTTCCCTTTTCTTTAGTATGCATTCTACCTTTAAAAGGAATAATATTTCTGTATTGTTTCCAGAGATGCAGGGGCTACAAGACTTGACGTGTTTTCAGGTGAGCAGATTTTTTAATATACATATATATAGATATATAGATATATATATACTTTAAAAGTGATTGTATGCATGTTTTCTTACATCCGTCTTACTCTCTGAATTAAAAGTGTATCTTGTATATTTTGGAATGCAGTTTAAGTGCTTTGTGACTTCATTAATCCTGCGGGGAACCAGGGCAAGAAATATGTATTTATGGGGGTCCGGTACCCACTGGAAGTACTATTTGGTGAATTATTTTTTCCAGAATTCTTTAATAGCCTCTAGATATTCTAGGCCATTGAACTTAACTACCATAAAACAACACTTGAAACTCACATAATACATAAACTTAATTGTTCTTCACTATTAAACAAGCATCTTATTTCTCCCAATGCATCAGAATTTAAAATTACATAGGGGAATGTGCAATATGAGATGGTTTTGTTTGGGGAAATATAAAACTTCAAACTAAAAACACTATTTTTTTATCTCATTTTCAGTCAGCAAATATATAACGAATATGATAAAGCAGAATATTAGTAAGTCCATGGCCTATAGAATTAATTCCTATAAAGCTAGGTTATTTATGCAGATGGAGTAGATGATAAAAGCACTTTACTTCTATCCCTAGTCAGACATCTTACCAACGTGTGTATGGTGGGGGTGAAAGGGGTATGAGAAAGCAGATGAGAAAGGCTGTGCAGATGCTTAAAAATCTATCTAATGGGATCAAAGGATGTTCATCTGTTCTGTTGCTTCCTGGTGCATCTAGGAAGCACGATGTTTACACTGGTCAAGACCTGAGTTCAGATGTGGCTTCAGATGCTTACTAGCTGTGTGCCCTTAGACAAGTCACTTAACCTCTGTTTGCCTCCGTTTCTGCAACTGTAGAACAGGGATAATAATAGCACCTATCTTGCAGGGTTGTTGTGAGGATCACATGAGATAATATTTGTAAAACATTTAGCACAGTGCCTGGCATATAGCAGGTACTATGTAAATGCTTATTTTATTTCCTTCCCTCTTCTCTTCCCCTTTCTAGTACTCTATCCACTGAATAATCTAGCTCTTTAAAGCACTATAAATACTGGCTGTTATTATTATAATAATAAGTCATTATCATCATTTTATGCTATCATTGGATTTATACCGTAGTCTGCTTGTACCCATTGTAAATCTCTACATTGCCCTTTGGATTACCTAGAAAACTGATCCTTTAGAGATTATAATGTCCCAATATTTGCCACTGTATAACAGCATTTGAAGAATATTTCTGTTGAAAGTATGAGTCTTTGCATTGGGGAACAGTTTGGAAATATTAAAAAGCACTGTGTAATTTCCCAAATGCAATTTTAGCTTGCATTCTTCTTCCTATTTAATTCTGGCTGTAACATAAAACCTGTTTTTAATGTGTGTCCCAAATATATGTAATGACACTGTCAATGAATTGACCATCCTAATACTTGTCACAGTCTACACAGAAGGCATTTTTCATCCATTTAGTTTTTTCCTCGATGATGATCTCTTTTGAATAATTATGGCTCTCATAGAGGATACCCTGTAGTGTTATGGTAAAATCACCACTTTGAGATCTACAAATAAGAGCTTATAGGATACCTCCTCATCTGTAGGGAATCTCCTTGCCACCTGGATCTTCTAAAAGCCGTTCTCCACAACATTGACAAACACTTTTGGCTAACTCCCCATTGAACTTGTATGGGAAATTCCTTATTGGAAAAAAAAAGTTTTTTTGGTCATTAAAAAATAAACATTGGGGGGCAGATAGGTGGTGCAGTGGATAGAGCACTGGCCCTGAAGTCAGGAGGACCTGAGTTCAAATTCGGCCTTAGACCAACCTCTTGACACTTACTAGCTGTGTGACCCTGGGCAAGTCACTTAACCCCAATTGCCTAAAGAAAAACAAACAAGCAAACAAACAAACAAAAAAAACATAGTGGGTCATCAAAAAATAAACATTAGGAACTTGTATTCTTGCACCTTTCAGCCAAAGTAAAAATGTGGTCTGCTGTAGAGATACCTTTGTGAATACCTGCCCGTTCCTTGTTCGTATTTGTGTCAAGGTAACCTTTCATTCATATCTATTTCATTTTCATAAACATTTTATAAAAGATGAAAAGGTAGGTCTACGAGTCAGTAGTTATTGATGTTCCTCCAGTTACTTTGGGGGGACATTAATGTCCTTGATTCTTTTCACTCTGATGCTGTCTTCTTTTACCTGAATTACTTTCAGAACCAATCTCGCAGTACTTTCAAGATTATGCCTCTTCCAGCATCAATTAACTGTTTTTGGTCTGTTTAAACCCTCCCGCCTGATTTTGTTATCTTGAGTGTATATTAATCTTCCTAAAATAGTACTTTCATCTCATCAATCCATGACTCAGAAACATCCATATTATCTACCTGATCAAGTCTAAACTTCATTTGTCTTTTGAAACACTTCCATAATCTGACCCTAACCCATTTACCCAATTTTTATTTCCTACTACTGAGTTAGATCAGTTCATAACTCCACCAATAATGCGTTAGTGTCCCAGTTTTTCTACATCCCCTCTAACATTTGTCATTTTCCTTTTCTATCATATTAGCCAATCTGATAGGTGTGAGGTGGTACCTCAGAGTTGTATAATTTGCATTTCTCTAATCTGGAGTGATTTAGAGTGTTTTTTTAATATGACTATAAATAGCTTTGATTTCTTCTCCTAAAAACTGCCTGTTCATATCCTTTGACCTTTTACCAATTGGGGAATGACTTGTATTCTTATAAATTTGACTCAGTTGTCTATATATTTGAGAAATGAGGCCTTTATCAGAGAAACTTGCTGTAATTTCTGCCCCCCCCCATTTCCCTGCTTTCCTTCTAATCTTGGCTGCATTGGTTTTGTTTGTACAACCCATTTTTAATTTAATGTAATCAGAATTATCCATTTTATATCCCATAATCCATCCACATTTTATCACATGAATCTTTGATTATGTATTTTAATGGCATGAATGGTGGAAGGAGAGCTAGATTTAATTCAGAAGACCTAGGTTCAAAGCCCAAATTCGCTGCTTCGTAATTATGTGACATTGGACAGTCACTTAACCTCTCTCTGTCTCAGTTTCTTTATCTGTGAAGTGAGAGTGTTGAATTAAATGAACTAGCTCTAAACCAGGAGCTCCCAAATTTTTTTGGTCCCTATTTCCCTTGGCTTTTGATAAATTTCTATACCCTTAATTCAACATAAAAGGAAACTGATTGTATTGTTTGCCATGCATATGCACATAAAAATAAATTAACCAATTTCAGTAGGAAAATATAGTAACCAAATATTCCCTGTGCCCCCTTGACAAGCTTCTTTTACCTCCTTGGGGTAGGGGTATCCTAGGTTAGGAACTCTTGCTCTAAATCTTGTGATTAAAGGAATATAAGGAACATTCTCCATTTCCAACCAAATCGTATTAGTCCTTCAAGGTTCAGCTCAAAGTCTACCAATTCTTTGACTCTATGAAAGAAAGACTATGAAATCTTTCTTAATAATTGGTTTCAAATTGCTCTCTCCCTGAAATCCTTAAATGCATTTATTTTTGAATCACTGGGTTTGAAACTTATCATAACTTGTCTTTCAATATTAACTAACCCTTTAAATATAGACTAGGTGTGATTGTATATTAAGAATATTCAGTTTGAAGAATACTCAACCAGAACATCAGTTCCATTCAACAGGTATACAGCACATACCTGCTATGTGCAGAGGTATTGTGCTGGGTGTTGGGGACACAAAGAAACATAAGACAGAGCCTGTTTTCAGGGAGTTTGCATTCTACTAGGGGTGAGGATTATTCCAACAAGGATACTAATAGGGAAATGTAAGATAATTTGAAAAAGTAGGGAGTACTAGTAACTAAGGGGAATCAGGAAAGTGTTACCTGGGAAGTGGCACCTGACCTGAACCTTGAAGGAATCTTGGGATTCTAAAAAGTGTAAGCAAGAAGAGAAATGCTGCTTTATGGAGAACAGTATATGGAAAGGCATAGAAATGGGAGATGGGACATCAAGTTTAGAAAACAACTTGTGTGATTGGAATATGGACTGTGATTGGAAGTAATATGATAAGCGGGAACTAGGTTGTGAAGCGCCTTAAAATTTCAGGCTAAGGAATTTGTATTTCATTCTAGAGGAGATAGGGAGTCAGTGAGGTTTTTTGTGGATCAAAATGATGTAGACAAATCTGCGTATTAGGAATATTGATTTGCAGCTCTGTGGAGGATGGATTAGAAAGGGATAGGCTGGAAACAGGGAGACCAAGCAGGCTGTTAACAACAATTTAGGTAAGAAATGATGGTGGCCTAAATTTGAGTGTGAAAATAGGGAAGGGGGAGGGGTCGGTGTGAAAGATGTTGTCTATGGTAAACAGTTGGTTATGGGGATGAGTAAGAGAGAAAAGTCAAAGATGACTCCAAGATTGCAAACCTGGATGGTTGTCTCTTAATAGGGAAGTTTGGAAGAGGAAAGGGTTTTCTCAGGGAGGGGGTTGTGAGATATAATGGGTTCATTTTGGATATACTGAGTTGGAGATGTCTGTGGAAAATTCAGATAGGAAAGACCAACAGGAAATTGGTGATACAGATCTGGAGTTCAGGAAGGAGATAAGGGATGGAAGGATCCCTCACATATCACGCCATCTCTAAAAATATAAATATATATGTGTACATATGTGTGTACATATACACACATTTATCAATCACTAAATCTATCTGCCTGTCTATTTATAAATATATTTAGGAGTCATCAGAATAGAGATGATAATTTAACCCATGGGAGGTAATAGCATCATCAAGAGAGAGGTAAAGAGAGATTATTTATGTGTATCTAAGTCCAGCAAATGGTGGGGCTTATCTTTATATTATAGTTGTGCTTCTATTGCTTGAGATATTTTGGAAGCTTTTTTTTTTTTTCAAAAAACCTTCAGAGTTAGTTGATGAACTATCAATAAAATCTGCATAATGCTCTCTCTCTCTCTCTCTCTCTCTCTTGCTTTCTCTCTCTCTCTGTGTCTCTCTCTTTCTCTGTGTCTCTGTCTGTTTTTCTGTCTCTGTCTCTCTGTCTCTGTGTCTCTGTCTCTTTCTGTCTCTGTCTCTGTCTTTCTCTGTCTCTCTGTTTCTCTCTTTCTTTCTCTCTATTTCCATTCCTCTCCCCCACCTATAAATGTTGTTTTCTACTTTTGTACTTCGACTTGGCTCTCAGCAACTTGTCCTTTTCCAAAATTAAGATCCACTTTCAAGGATTTGCCACCATTAAGATATGTGAAGGAAGGCAGGGCTAGGTCAGAGGGTACTTGTAAATGAGGAGCCCCTAATATTGTGTTTAGGGAATAAAGGTGTACTTCCTGTCATGTAGTTATTTGGATATATGTTAAGGTATACCTAAAAAAATTGATTTCATTACTTTATGACAGAGATTCTTAACTTTCTTTGTGTCATGGATCCCTTTGGTTAAAGGGTTAAAGATAAAGATAAAGCCTGTGGATTCCATCTCAAAATGTTTTGCAATGCATAAAATAAAATACACAGGATTGTAATAGAAATGAATTATGTTGAAATACAATTCTCAATATATTTTTTAAGTCATGGACCCCAGGTTAAAAATATCTACATTGTGCTGACAAAATTGCTGATATAATTGTTAATATAATGACAGAAATTGTTAATACTGTACTTTGGATTGCCACTCCTTTAAATGTTCCTTGTAATGTTAGAATTTCAGTAAGGTCCTTGCATTCCTACTCTTAAGATATTTATTCTTTATTAGATTGAGCTAAACCACATGCTAGGTTCCCCCCCATCCTAATATTTTCCCTTGTGAGGGAACCTGGCTCAAGCTGGAGCCTTTGATGTCCTTGCCCTTTTCCACTAGGATTCATGACATGAAAGGCAAGACAGCCAGAATGAAGTGGCTTTCCTTGCTGGGATTGCCAAGGGCCACTAGGGTCAAGCTGGCCTTTGATGTCCTTGACCTTTTCCACTAGGATTCATGACATGAAAGGCACAACAGCCAGAATGAAGTGGCTTTCCGTGCCGGGATTGCCAAGGGCCACTAGGGTCTCATGACCGGGCCTTGCTACCTCATACTGTCTCTTCCTTCTTTCCTTCTAAAACTATAAAAACTTTTTCATGAGTTTCTTTGGTTGGGAAATCCACTGGATATCCCCTAGGGTGGCAGATTTGCTACCCTGTTATCTCAGTTAAAGATGCTTTATTCCTCAACTCATGGCTTTGATTTATTTTAGGACTTGACAGTGGTAATGTTTCAAACAAGATTGTGGGGTCTGTGTCTTAATTCTTCTGGTAGTTTTTTTCCCCCCTGAAAGCAGAATAAGAATGAAAACTCATGTTTAAATAATAATTTCCTCACACCCATCTTGTGTTGCAAGTAGTATGAGTTATCCCCATTTTGCAAATGAGGTTTTGAAAAGTTAAGTGATTTACCCAAGTTCACCCAGCTAGTAAGTTTTTCAGAACAGATAGAACCTGGTCTCATGGGCTATCTGCCGTGCCAAGCTGACTTTGTAGGAGATTATGAATTTGAATTGCACAAGGATAGCTTCTGTTTCTTTTAGAAGTTTTGGGTAAAATGGTGAAATTGAAGAGAATTCTGTAAGCCAATGGAAAAAGGTTATGAAGGGTCAGGAGAAGACACTTAGACCTATATAGAAAGGAGCTTAAGAGGAAAGAAGGAAAGGCATATGGACCAGGTCAAGTCAATATCCTTTGTTCAAATGGTTCAGGGTGGCTTCAGGGTCTGGTTTTTTTTTTTCCTACAGAGCAGTGTAGTTTCTGATTTATTTTGGTAACTTCTTAATGCTTTTAAAAATTTCTTTTCATTTTAATTTAATTCAGTGCTTTTGTATTCTAGCTACACCCTTGTTCTCCCCCTGCTGTTTCCATAAAATCACAGCCAAGTTCCCCAGAGCTCCATCATTGTGCCCCTGCTCAGTGTCACTCTTTGCTCCCGTGTTAGGACGAACATTAATCATACGAGCAGCATGACTTTCTAATGAACAAATTAAGCTTAATATTTATTAGTAATAGCTGCTTTCTCTTATAGTGGATAATGAAAAACTACAGGGTGGATTTATGTTGTGCTTCCTTGATGATGGATACGGAATGAGTCCTGGTAAGTTAATTATCTAGTTACCTAACTGGCTGTTACCATGAACAGTCAGAAAACCAATAAAAAAGCAAATTGAGCTCCATATGCAAAATCAGGTATTGAGTGTTATTCAGATGGGGGGTGGGGGGTGTATGGAAAAGCCATAGATTTGACTTTTCAGGTTTAAATATTTTGGCTGGCTTGATAAATTAATTCTAGCCATCTAACCTTATGAATTTGAATTGCACAAGGATAGCTTCTGTTTCTTTTAGAAGTTTCGGGTAAAATGTTTGGCCTTATAGGCCTGTGAGTTTTTTTCACTAAGTATTATATTTTTTTAACATTCATTTTAAAAATTTTGAGTTCTAAATTCTCTCCCTTCTCCCAGTCCCTTTCCCACCTATTGAGAAGACAAGCAATATAACAGCCATTATACATGTGAAATCATGCAAAACATATTTCCAGATTAGACATGTTCAGCATTATCTTCTGCATGAAGCCTCTTCTGTCCCCCCAAGTGTGAATACCTTTCAGGCCTATAAGGCCTGACATTCTGGTAGAAAAAAACCCTGAAATTTAGAAGGCACTCATTGCTATAGATATACTTTTACTTTGGCTTGAATTAAGTAGTGCCACCTAATGAATTATAAGAGTTGTTAATACCCAGCCTGACTCTAAGACTGACCCTGTAGGTACTGCTGTCGCTAGCCCCCAGGGCTAATTTCTAGTGCCTTTAGGTGGATTTTCCTTTTCTGCTTAACCATCAATTAGGAGTCACCTTGCCTTGTATCTTAGTGGTTAATTTTTTTTCTTTCATGTTCAGAGGAGTGATGGTTTCACTCCTAGCTTGCTAAGGGACTCACTTGCATTATCTTTACCTTATGCATACAAAACTGTAATTGAAGTCCAATGGGAACCCTGAGGCATTTGGATTCTCATCCATGGCCCTGGATCCATAACTTTGACTAGTGTAAAGCTTGGTGATATTTTTCTTGGTGTATTGAATTTTTCGTGGTTATTTTCCACGCATAAGGGGAAGAAACCCTCTGTCATTCATCAGATATGCCCCATAGCATAGAGGCCTTTCAGGGCCCTTTGAACTCCTTGCTTTCTTTTTGTTTGTATAGTCCAATGTTATTCATTAACAAGTGGGAAGATCCTATAATCCCAACCCACACATAGTATTTATGTGTGGATTCATATTCAGATTCTGGTTCTGTTGGCTTTTCCACAAAAAGACATCTTTGGGCCCTGGACTGTGTCGGTCAGATATTTACATCCATTAAGTCTCTCTCCTCATCTCTCCATAAATGTCAATCAGTCAATCAGCCAGCAAGAATTTATTAAGCACCTGTTCTGTGTCAGAGACTGTATTAGGAATAGGTGATACATATACAAAGAAGAAAATAATCCCTTTTCTCAAAGAGGGTACTAGAATTTAAAGGCACATATGGTCATTGTGATATAATGCTAAGAATGCTGATTCAGGAGTCAGAGGACCTGGGTTCAGATCCTTCCTTTGCTTGGTTACCTCTGTGACTGTAGGGATCTGAATGGGTCTCAGTGAATGGGTAGGAATAGAGGATCTGTCCCTGCCCTCTGTGGATCCTCAGTCTCAGACCTTGAAACACTGTCAGAACGTACCAAATCCCAGGCTTTCCATTTTCTCACAGTGTAGGTACAAGCACAAGGCTGCACTCAAGGCCCTAGAAGGCCACATGTGGCCTCAAGGCTGCAGGTTCCCCACCCTTGCTTTAGATCTTCCAAAAATGCTACCCTTCATATCAGGCATAACCTTGGTGGTGCAGTGGCTAGAGCACATGACTTGAAGTCAGAAAGACCTGAGTTTTAATCTAGCCTTAGACACTTGGTAGCTTTTTGACCCTAGGAAGTCACCTTAACCTCTATGTTTGCCTCAGTTTCCTCATCTATAAAATAGGGATAATAATGACACTGACTTCTCAGAGTTGTTGTGAAGATCAAATGAGATAATATTTGTAAAGTGCTTTTCAAACCTTAAAGTGCTATATAAATGCTAGCTTATATTATATTACATCATATCATATATTATGTATTACCCAGATCTCACAAATGCACAATGCATCATAGTCATACAACATACCCATTCTCTGACCCCCACTCTCCTTAGGATTAAATTTCATTTTGAAAGGGAGTAAGGCATACCAGGCTCCTTGCTCATTTCATAGAGAAGGAAACTAGAGCCCACAGGGTTTATTTGCTCATGTTCACACAATAAGAAGTAGCAGGGCTAGAATTTGAAATTTGGTCTTCCCTCTCCAAGTTAAGCACTCTTCCAATGACACCATTTTGCCTTTTTTTGTGTGTTATAAACATCACTCAGCTTGCAGTATAAATATACACATGGGCTAGATCAGGGGTGGCGAACCAGTGGCCCCAAGGCCACATGTGGCCCCCTGGGTCCTCAAATGTGGCCCTTTGATGGAAACTTCACAGGGGTTTTGGACTAGATCTTATTGGCAACATGCTTTAGCATCAACAGAGTTTTAACACTCTCTAAATTATATAGGACTATATTTAATGATTGGGGACAACTGTATGTAAGTGGTCTTCTTACATAGTTGTGTGCTTTTCCTTGGGATTCTCAACCTTAATATCATCATCCATATCTTGTTAGACTGATATGAGTATTCAAGAAGAATTATTCTTTTGTGTGAAGGTACAGAGAGTTAAAAATCAATCAACCATGTATTTATTAAGCGCTTACTATATGCCAAGCACTGTGCCAGGTGCTGAGGACATAAGTACAAAAAATGATTCCCTACTCATAGAGATCTTACATTGGGGATATAGCAAATATATAAATAAATATATGCAGCATAAATATAAAATAAAGATAAATATATATGAAGTGTGTAAATATAACATAGTTTGGGAGGAAAGGTATTCATACTTGGGGGACAGAAGAGGCTTCATGCAGAAGATAATGCTGAACATGTCTAATCTGGAAATATGTTTTGCATGATTTCACATGTATAATGGCTGTTATATTGCTTGTCTTCTCAATAGGTGGGAAAGGGACTGGGAGAAGGGAGAGAATTTAGAACTCAAAATTTTTAAAGTGAATGTCAAAAAAATATAATACTGAGTGAAAAAAACTCACAAATATTTGTTTTTGCTAGATAGATATTTAGATAAGATGTTTATTAAGCACTTAACTCTGTACCAGATAGTGAGTGATGAGAACATTTTTATTAATTTTCAAAATGAAAGGCAATTTGTGCACATGATATGTTGGGAGAAACAGTTTTGAAAAGAGAAAGGAAGAATCTTTATATTGTTTCATTATAAAAATTGTAAGGAGAAAATCAAATGAATATAAAGCAGTTTTAAAATACTGAAATCTTAAGAAACAAATTCATTCTTCATTTGATTCTAAAAATAGAATACCCACAATAGTAGAGCAATCTAGAATTGAAGAAAATATTGTTTTCTAACATCAAAAATGAAATTGTAGGTTGGCAGGAGAGTTTGTCAGGTAAGAGACAAAGATATCAGTTATGTTGATGAACCTGAATTAGATCAAATCTTGAGTGGCTAGAAAGGACATGATTTAGTAACATAGTAACAGACATTTATTAAACCCTTTCTGCTACAGAGCATTGTGTTAGGTCCTGAAAGAGATTCAAAATTAGGTAAGATAAGTTTCTTGACCTCATAAAGCTTATAGTCATACATGGGAGTTCTTACGTTTTTGTGTGTGTGTCATGGCCCCAGAGCCGCTTTGGAGAAGTCTATGGACTCCTTAAAATAATGTTTTTAAATGCATAGAATACTTAAGATTAGAATAGAAGCGAATTATATTGAAATCATTATCAAAACATTAAAACAAAAACAACAAATGTATTATTAACAATGTTGTCAAAATATTAAAAAAAAAAACCATGAACCCTTGGTTAGTAGATACCATTATTTTGTGAGTCTCACAATTTAATATAAACTCCTTGAGAACAGGGATGTCTTGTTTTTTTTCTTCCTCTTGTTATGTAGTAAACTCTTAAATGATTTTTGATTGATTGATTGTATATTAGGCACGAACACACACGCTTGTATCTCTGATTGTTAGCATGATGCCCAGCTCGTAGTTCTCAACATCATTTCTTGTTCAGTCATGTTTGACTCTTCCTGACCCCATTTGTGGGTTTCTTGGAAAAGATACTAGAGTGGTGTGCCATTTCTTTCTCCAGCTCATTTGTACAGATGAGGAAACTGAGCCACCTAGGGTCACATAGCTAGTTAGTGTCTGAGGCCAGATTTGAACTCACAAAGATCAGTCTTCCTGACTGCAGGCTCAGCATTCTATCTACTGTGCCACGTGGCTGCCCCCTCTAATTAGCACTTACTAAATTCTTGTTGACTTTCAGACTGGCACATCCCCAAGAAGTTTCAGAGGCTTTGGATAAATGGACAATTGATTATATATTTAGTTGGCAGACAAGAATATCTGGCAACTCCTAAATGATAAACTCCATGAGGGCATGGATTGTATCTTAGGTAATTTATATCTCTCCTAGGACTTAGCATAATAACATATAGTAGGTATTTAATAAATGTGAATTAAATCAATTGAATAATACATATTCTTCCGGGCACTTCTGGGTTACACGGTATCTCTAACTTCAGTGAAATCCAGACCATGTCAAGAGTTTATAAGTAAATAAGGAGGTCTCTAATGGACCCACTGAATCCCATGGTCTCTTTGGAGGCAGTCCTCCAGATGTATTCAGGATACCTTTCGGGGGTTCTAGTCTGCCCTAGGGGGGATAGATCTTCAAGAAAATGCAGTGAACCAGGTATACAGGAATCAGAGTCTTTTCTGGGAGATCTGAAGCTTCCGTACTCCTCTTAGTGACTCCCAGGAGTTAGATTGAGTTACAGGGTCAACAATCCCTTGATCCTTCAGTGGGTGACCTACATATTTGGGATGGCTACAGAGTCACTCAAGTTTATCCAATGTGCTAGGGACCTTATGAGGCTCTGAATTCTATTGGGGCACCCTGACCAAGATTCAAGGTAGTGTCACACGGCTCAAACTCTCTCACTATGACAGGGGGTTATTAGTCTGAGGTAATTCTGACCCTGGGAAGAAATCTAACATCCTTCAAAATCCATGCCTATTACAGAGGAAGCTTCAGATGTCATTTTCTTTGGAAAGTCTAAGAAGCGGATAGCTGCTTCAAGGTTCATTGGACATTATGGCAACGGTCTTAAAAGGTAATAAAATTTTTTTCCCCTGCACCTTTTAGTACTGTGCCTGGCTGATGACTGAGGATGATGTCTACTTTAAAGGGCATCAGAAATGAAGGTGATGTAAAAACAAAAAATAGCAATTAAAAAATAGAATACAGAGCAGGCATAAATAGCTATTTTGGCTAAAGGAACACCTTCAGTTAAGGGTGGAAGGCTTCTGCCAAAGAACCCCAACTTGTGTCTTTGCAGCATTTCTCACTGTTACGACATTCTGTTGATTTCACCTCTGTAACATCTTTCTTACCTCTGTAATGCCTTTTTTTAATTTGTTGTCTCCTCTTTTCCCATTGCCACCTCTCAAGGAAACGCCTTCATTGCTATTGTTAACTCATAATGGGTCTCCATAATAATAATGATTAAGGTTTATATAGCATCTCCTATATGCCAGACACTATGCTAAGTGCTTTTACAAATATTATCTTATTTGATCCCTACTTTCACTTTTTCCCTTCTGTAATCCACCTTTCATGCACTACCTGACTAATGTTCTGTATGCATAGATCTAGCTATGTCACTCTTTTTCTGAAAAAAAACTCTTGGGTCAGCTAGGTGGTGCAGTGGATAGAGCACTAACCCTGGAGTCAGGAGGACCTAAGTTCAAAGCCAGCCTTAGACACTTAATACTTACTTAGCTGTGTGACTCTGGGCAAGTCACTTAACCCCAATTGCCTTACCAAAAAAAAAAAAAAATAGTGAATTCTGAAAAAAACTCTTCATTGGCTCCCTACACTCTCCTGAGTTAAAATTCCTTTGTATGGCTTTCAAGGCCCTCCATTACCTGAAACTGCCCTACCTTTCCATTCTTGTATTACTTATCTTATGTACTTTATACTTCAGCCAAACTGTACTGTTCTTTGACGGCTAAATATGTCCTGTGCTTACCTGTCTCCATTCTTTGGTTCTACGATTCCCTCTGCTGGCATTCTCCTCTCTTCCCCCTTTTGCCTAGTATTAAATTCCTTCCCATCCTTGAAGGCCCAACTCAGATGCCACCTACTTCATGAAAACTCCCCCTCCTTCTGGTGTTGACTTTCCTGTTCAGATATCACAACTGTACTGCAATTTTCATGTAAAGCTGTTTGTTATAAATATCTGTCTTGGTGTCTTAGCTTTCTCCTAGACAGTAGGCTCCATGAGGACAGAGGCTATATCTTATCTAAACATTGTGCCTTTCCCAGCACCTAGAACACAAGTCACGTAAATAATTTTTGTAAAGTGTCAATTATACATCAAATTGTTATATTATAGAGATTCTTCAGAGATGCCCTGTGATAGTCACCCAAGACATAATAATTTATTTGCAGTTTCTTGGCATTTCCATATTCTACTAATCCTCGAAGTAAATGTCAGACAGTTCTCATATGGGGTCATCAGCTTCTAAGTTCATTTAGTGAAAGCATGATATAGTAGATTGTAAGCTCCTTGAGGACAAGAACTGTGCCTTATTTTATCTTGGTCTCTCTAGCCCCTAGTTTATAATGTGCTTTTTAATATATGTTTGTTGAATGGGATTGCATAAAACCTACATTACAGGTTTTATACTGGCAAAGGAGAAAATATTTTTGCTCTGTGCCTAGCTTACAGGCTGAGATCCTTACCCCACCATCTTCCAAATGTGTACTACTCATCATAAGGAGAACAGGTCCCTCATGTTATCATTTTGGATGTATGCATGCAAATCCATCCCTTCTCCTGGATAAAACATTGTGAACGCATATTAGTAGCATCCTCTTATCTGTGAAGTAAAGCACATTAATTAGAATGTCAAATTCCCTATCAGACCTAACCCAGGATTATCATAGAATGTTAGAGATGGGTGGGGCTGATGCTCAGCCATCTGTGTAATAACTAATTATTTGTGTGTCTTCTTTGCAGTGGATCCATGAGGATAGGGAAAGACTTCATTCTTTTTACCAAGAAAGAAGAGACAATGACCTGCATTTTTTTATCTCAGACTTTTTGTGAAAGTGAAGGTCTCAGTGAGGTACAATTTTAGTTTATTTCTTTGGTTCCCGTGGTAACTGTGGGGTTCACTTTCCCCTTGGAGGCACTGCTAATTAATGGATCAGAGCTTGAGAGATAGTATTCCAGAGTTGAAAAAGGGTTGAGTAGTTTTTTGTTGTGGTTGTTGGGGTTTTTTTAATCATCCATTTGTTTGTTTTAAAGGATTTGGAGCTCCTATACAATTTTCTATTTTTTTTTTTTTGCTAGGAAATGGGGTTAAGTGACTTGACAGGGTCACACAGCTGGTAAGTGTTATGTGAGGCCAGATTTAAACTCAGGTCCTCCTGACTCCAGGGCCAGTGCTCTATGCACTGTGCCACCTAGCTGCCCCTCTAATCTTTTCTTTCCCTGAACTCAGAACTATTCAAAAATACTTTGTATTTTTCATATGGACTTACGATGTTGTATTTTTGTGACAGTTCTTTGCATACATGCCTGAGTGCAGGGTCATGACATGTTTATATTTATGTCTCTTTTGGTTCCTAACACCAGTGTTTTGTATGTGTTTGTTGAAACTGAATTATGTATCTATGTATATGTTCCAGAGACTTAGGGGACAGAGTTGTTAACTATAAAAAATGATTCAGATAGAACAAAACAGTACCTTAAAGGCTCTCCTGTTCATGTATCAGAATTATACGGGATCCATAGGATTGTAGACCTACATCTGGAAGGGTCCTTAGAGGCTGTAGTTCATCTCTTTCATTTTACAGATGAAGAAATTGATCAGGGAGGTTAAGTGCTCAAGGTCACCCAGGTTCTAACGGTCAGTGGGGAAACTTGAACCCAGGTCCTCTGATTCCATAGACGGTGCTTTTTCCAATGTAAGATACCTCAAAAGATAAAACAATGGAAATATTCTCTGATCATTAATTCAGTTAATCAAATCAGTTAGTAAAAAGCAGGAAACAGGGAGACATATGCTAGCCCCTGTTATTTGCTATTGTCATGGAGGGTGTCAACCCTTGGTTCATGTTGAAGAGAAGGATTCACTATAGAATAGATGATGAAATCTTAACATTGGGCTTATTGCTTTAAACTTCAGATCACTGTAGAACCTCCTAAACAAGATGCCTAATTTCTCTAGTTTGCCCTAACAAAAACAAAATGGATTAAGAATACCTTTGTCCAAATCTGGACTTTTTAAATTTTTTCCACTGATGACCCCTTCAGCACTTCTTAAACCCATGTGGGGTTGCGAGCCACAGTTTAAGAAGTGCTGGTCTAAGTGACCAACCTGTAGAGATCATCCCTCTGAGTGTGTGTGTGTGTGTGTGTGTGTGTGTGAGAGAGAGAGAGAGAGAGAGAGAGAGAATGTATTTCAGAAAGATATTTCAGTGAAAAAGAAAAAGGGATGAGAGATGCATGAAAAGTGTGGGACCAAAGTAATTCCAAGGTATGCTCCTATATTTGATAAAGTGGAAGTTCAAGTTAAAGAAACTAGTTATTACTATAAGAGAGGGGCTTTGTTTAGAGGAGTTGCAAGTTTGATTTAATAAAGGAAATTAAAAGAATATTTGTAATTATAAGAATATTTGTATTTCAGTAAAATGATTGGAGAAAAGACAAACCTAACACTTATAAAGCTTATTGTAAAGGGACTAAATATTCAAGCAAAAATCTGGAAGAAAAAGGAATAGTATATTTGTTTCCACTAAAGAGGGAATATTTCAATCTAATGGAAGAAATTGTAAAGAAAACATCAGTGGTTTTGTGTATACAGAGATAAAAAGGGTTTTACACAAGCATTATCTTTAAAAGAAAAAGCAAAAATAGAATGGCAGAAATTTGCAGGAACCATATTAGATAAAGGATTGACATTCAGAATCTATAAGAAATTGATACATATCTGTAATTCTAATGCACTCTTCTCAATAGTGCAGTTGTCCAGAGATGTGAATGGAAAATTTTCAGAGGAGAAATGCAAACTTTTAATAGACACATAAAAGATGCTCAAATTCCCTAGTAACCAGAGCAATGTAAATCAGTACAACCTTAAAATATACTTCCTTACACCCACTGGAATGGGAAAAATAGATCCTCCCAGATGATAGGATTTAATATTGTCAGACCTACAATGAAATAGGCACTGTGGTATACTGTTAGAGGGGCTTGTAGACTGGTGCAAACTTTTTGGACAACAATACAAGAGCGTACAGTGAATCGCAAAACTAATTATTCCTTTTGACCCCATGACTCCATTAATATGACTCTATCCAAAACATATAATATAAAGCATCTGTACAAAATATTTGTAGCTACAGTTAGTTGTATTTGTAGCTATAGTTATTTGCAATAGTAAAATAACTGCAAACAACCTAGATGTTCAACAATTGAAGAATGAATAAATTATGACATATAATAGAATATTACTGTGCCATAAAAACTGTAATTATGAATGTAAGGAAAAAATTTGAAAAAGATATGAAAAGTAAGATTGGCAGAACCCAAACTACCTACGTTTCCTATAACTATATATATACATACACACATAAATATATATTTATGTGTGCATGTATATATGTGGGGCCATCTCCAGTTGTCCTAATCTATAGCTTGCCTCTGGATTCAGATGACTCTAGAGGAGAAAGTGAGGCTGGTGACTTTGCACAGCCCTTCCTCACTTAAATCCAATTCACTTGCAAGTAATGGCATCACTTTCCTGATGTCATGGTCCTCTTCAAGAACAAAGGACAAACAATTCATATATGTGTGTGTATATATATAGTGAAATGTAATAGAACCTCACATACGGGGAAAGTGACAGTGAGCAATCATATTTTTACTGTTTTGTCAATTTGTTTAGTTCTTTTCTTTTAAATGCTACATTTTATGTAAGTTTTTACTTTCTAAAAAGTATCTTTGATATCTTTTGTTTACATATTACTTTCATATCCAAATATGTGCTTTCTTCATTACCTACCCAGAGATAACCCTTATAACAAAACAAAAACAAAAATAAAAAAGAAAGAGAAGTTGAGTAAATTATCCAACCCATCAACCCAAATTGACAGACACAAATTTACAGTCCCCTGCAAAAGTAGGGTGTGGGAGGGAAGCTTTTTCTTATCTCTTCTTCTTGGACAAGTTTGGTCATTAAAATTACCCCGTGTTCAATTTCAGGCTGTTTTTCTTATTGGCCGGTGTTTATCATTTAAATTGCTGTGGTCTTTGAATATATTATTTTCCTGATCCTGTTTATGTCATTTTGCATTACTTCATATATATTTTCTCATGCTTCTCTGTTCTTTATAGTCATTGTTTCTCATGATATTGTAATAATCTAGTATATCAATATACTGCTTATATACATGAATTAGTTGAATGGTATGATTATTTGGTTATTTATCTTTGTTGATGGTTATTATGTTTATAATAAATATTAAATTAAAAAATATTACTGATGCTGATCACCAGTTGCATCAGCCACTTCTTCCAGAACCTGAGGATAGAGGTGATTTGGTGACTTGAACTCATTAAGAGCAGCTTGGTGCTCTCTTACCATCTTCCCACTTAGCTTGAGTTTCATCTCTCCATTAGCCATATTCGCTTTTTTCTTTCCAGTCCAAAGTTTATTCTCCTTGACAGAGAAAACACATACAAAGTAAGAGTCAAACAGTTCTGTTTTTTCTCCATTTTATTTTATCCCCTAAGCAGGAATTTCTCCCTTCCTTAATCCTCTTTTTTCCATTATAGCTTTATGGAAAAAAAGAAAAAGAAAACAGTAACAACAACAAAAAACCTCTTTTTGTTTCTCAACTCAGTTCATCTAAACTTTAATGTTCTTATAGGATCATGTCATCCCTTTGTGTTTATATTTTACTACCTGTTCTTGCTTCCATCTTCTGCATGAGTTATGAGTTTGCTGTGTGTCCACATCAATCTTTTAGGCAGCTCCCCATCCTTCCTCTTTGTGTCTTTACAGTTTCAGTCTTTAGAGCTTGCCATCTCTCTTGAGCTGAATTCTCCTATAGAATTTTAGGCCAACGTATCCTACCTTTACTCATTTGTTCCCTGTGCACTATGCTGTCCCAAAATCTAGGATTTTTCAGTCAGTCACTTATTATTTATTAAGCACCTACTATATGCCAGGCATTTTGCTAAGTATTAGAGGTATAAAGAAGGATAAAAGCCAGTCCCTGCTCTCAAGAAACTCATAGTCTAATATATGTCACACAGGGTCCAGCTTTGCTGAATTCTATCACAGACCTCTAAGGTAGAGTAGTCATTTTTCGCAAAGGTTTTGACATTTCTTCCTTAGCAACCATTTCCTCTTTTTTATTAGCCTACCTCTGACACATACTAGCTTTGTGACCCTATCTAAGACACTTAATCAACCTTTTAGTGTTCTAAGCAACTCTATAAAATTATAATTTGAAAAGAAGGTATCAATCCCCATCGGGGGAGTTTTCCTCCTCCAGGATTTTGCTAAGTTTTGAACCCATGTGTTTTGATTCCAAATCCATTATTTTTTCTCCTGTATCATCACATTGACTCAGCTTAGGCCCCAGTACTCAGTAGCCCCATTCATAATTAGTCTTCAGTCCTTGCTCTCTCCTGGTTCAACCTCACATGAACTGTGGCATATCCCAGAACCCAGTCAAAAAGTGACTGGAGTGGCTGGCCCTTGTCCTTCTCAGGTTTAATTGGGAAGGTTCTCTGGGAGTGTGAGCTCTTTTTCCCTTAAATCCTAAATAGGATGGCATTCTGCCCTTTCTGAAAAATCATTCTCCTTATTAAGAAAAAAAAAAGCAGAGGAAGAATAGAGTAGTTGTTTCTATCATCTCATTTTCCTTTTTCCTTCCTCATTAAAATTATTTCTATTTGTATTTCAAAATAACTTCTCATCGCATTTTAGGACATGATTCTTCCAATTCTTTCTCTGAAGCCTTCAGAATCTGGTCTCCCTCAGATGAGGAGATGCTTCTAGCTATGCCCAGCTTTCTTTTCTTTTTATATCACAAGTTCCAAGCTTTAGTGATCATTTCTCTCCCTAGGTTTCTATCATTCCTACTTCAGAAAATCAGTTTTTATTTGTTCTAGAATAGCAGTAAACCTTGTTGCTTGTTGTCCATTTTAAAAATTACGTGTTTTTCAATTAACAGCATTTATTTTTCTCTCTCTGTCCCACATCCTTTCTACACAGCAAAAAGAAAAAAAACCCCTTATAATAAATATATATAATCAAGCACAATTATGCCCTAAGAAATAAGAAACCCACCAAGGCTTGCTCTATCTTTTGGTGAATGAAATGATCAATAAGATAAGCCACAAATTTATCACTTGCCCTGCTTTGGGCAGAGAGAGACCTCTAGGAGATGTCAAAATATTTAGACTATATCGTGCCCCTATGCCACATTTATGATCTTTTCCCTGAGCTCCTTACCTATTCTTTTTCTGTTCAGGTGGTCTCTATTCCATATCGATCTAGTCAATCAGTAAGTATTCTATGTTTCTTTCCATTCATTCTCCTCTAAATGCCCTCTATCACGTTTTATTCTCTGGGTTTCTGAATTCCCTTATATGAGGAGTGTACATGGCTCACAATCTTCTTTATTCCAACCCTTCCCCTTATACGAGGGGATTTCACCATAGATGTTGATACTTCTTCAAACACCTCAGTCTCCCAGGTCCTCAGTCTCTTCAACTCCCATGGCCTACTTCTTTATTCCCCGTAGCCATATATAAGGATGGCCATGTTCTTGATCTTGCCATCACTCACAAGTGTTCTGCTTTCATAATCAAAAGCTCTAAAATTCCTTTACCCGTAATAATGGTTTTTATTTTCATTTCTCCCAATGGCTTAACCTTCTTAAATTTATTCATCTTTTTAGTGATCGTCATTCCTTCCATTTCTCAGTACTCTCCCAGGCCATCTACACTTACTCTAACTTTACTTTTCCTTCTCAATCTTGACTGTATACACCATCCTGTACTCTCATGTGGCTTGTCTTCTTGGCCTATCAGTGTTCAAAGCTTAACTTTGGATTATCCCAACATCCACCTCCATCTATTTCTATTCATGTACTACTGAATGGAATTGGAAGAAAATGTGCAACTGAGCTGGATCCACTAAATAAATATATATATATATATACATATTATTAGACATACACACATATATATATTATACATACACACACACATGCACATACATGTTATCTCAACTGGATCTTCATCATAGCAAGGCAATGCTATTGACTGCTCCCCGAATGATTCTCTATTCCACTAACTGTAGAGGGTCTTCCAAATCTTTTCTTGTCTCCTAAAACCTCCCAAACCATTCACTTCTTTAACCCTTTCAGATGAGGACCTTACCTCACACTTAAATGAAAAAAAACAGAGGTACTTGGTAATGAGTTCCCTCTTTTCTCCTTTCTGTATCTGAAAACTCTTTTGACATCATGCCCTCCATTTTTTCTTCCTCTACTCCATGAAGAAGTGACCCTTCTCTTCACAAAGGCCACTGCTACCGTATACAATCTTGATCCTATCTCTTCGTGTCTTTTCCTTCAGAATTCCCCAGTAGTCTTGTCTAATCTTCAATCTCTTCTCTGTTGATTCAATCACTGCTGTCTAAAAAACGTGCTCATGTCTCTCTTTATTCTTAAAAAAATCCATATTAGACTCTTCTACCTCAAGCCATCGTCCTAATATCATCCTAACTCTTTCATCCCCTTCTCACCTAAACTGATTGAAAAAAATCATCTGTACTCAGTGCTTCCACTTTAAGGCTCAACTAAAATCCCATCTTTTATTGGAGAAACTTTCCTCAACCCCTCTTAATTCTAGTACCGTCCCTCTGTTAATTAGTTCCTAGTTATCCTGTATATAGTTTGCTTTGTATATATTTGTTTGCATCTTGTCTCCCCCATTCACTGATAAGCTCTTTGAGAGCAGGGACTGTCTTTTGCCTCTTTTTTTTTTTTTGTATCCTCAGCACTTCGCACAGTGCCTGGCACATAGTAGGTGCTTAATAAATGTTTATTGATTGACTTCATCTCCTCTCACTTTGTAATGTGACTTCCAGCTTCATGAAACAACTGAAGCTACACTATCAGAAGTGACCCATTATTTTTCAATTGCCAAATCCCATAGCCTTTCCTGATCCTAGGCTTGCAAGTTACTTCCTCACAAAAATTACTTTGTATTTATTTTCATATATTTGCCTATGTATATGTTTTCTCCTCTGATAGAATGTAAGCTTCCCTCAGGGCAGGGACTTTAACTTTTTAAAAAATATATATCCCTAGCACCGTAACTGGCAATTGAAGGCGTTCAATGAATGCTTTCTGATTGAGTGATATCTTGTTAATTAATTCTTACTGTCCCTTTTATCTGTTTTTTTTTAAAATAATGTATAACAGTGGTTTCAAACTCAAATAGAAATGGGAGCCATTAAATCTATGGGCTGCAAATCAGCATTGTCTATGCTCTTTCACATTTTGATTTATTTCGTTAAATATTTCCTGATTACATTTTAGTCTGGTTCCAGCATGCTGCAGGTTTGTCATACCTGATGCATGCCGTCACAAAGCTACATTCCATTGGTGAGAACATCCCAAGTTATCTCCTCCCATTGGAGTCTTTAGTTCATTCTCTCTACTGCCAATCCTTTTTGGATATCCAGGCCATGGAGACATGGCACAGTGAATAGAGTGTTGAACTTGGTGTCAGGAAAGTCTGGGTTCAATTCCTGCCTCTAAAACTTATTACCTAGATGACCATAAACAATTCCTTTGAGCTTTAATTTCTTCATCGGCAAAATGATAATAATCATACTTGTTTCTACAATATTTTTGGGGGTAAGCTGAAATGAGATATCTAGGAAACACTTTAAAAACTTTAATCCCTGAATAAATTTGGGCTGTTATTTTTGCTGGCTCTCCTTGGATTTGTTTTGTTTCTTCTGTGCGTTATTGGGCCCCTCTACTACTAGTCTTCTAATAATACTGTCCTTTAAAAAACAGCCAAAGTTAAAAAAATATTGAGCTTTCTAGGTTGCTTGAATTCAGGGTTATATAGAGTTTACCAGATTAGGATCCAATAAGGATAATTATACCTGGGGTTTTTTTCAAATTTTTATCGTTGTTTATTGCAAATATTAATGTTATAGGTCCTCATCATCTTGTATGTATGTTTTTGCAGGTAGTAGTTCCCATACCCTCGTGGTCTTCAAGAACCAAAGAATCTATCACAGACCCCAAGAAATTCTCTGAGGAACTATCTGTAATTCATAAATATTCTCCCTTTAAAACGGAGGTTGAATTAATGCAGCAGTTTGACAAGATCTATAGAAAATCTGGTAAGATCATCAGATCACTGAGTGTCTGACACAGTAGACACTATAAAATGTACTCATATACTCAAAACATATATCAGTCAGACTTTGAAATCTCCCATAGGGTAGCATTCAGTTTATCTATATGGTTTGTGTATTAAGAAAATGTATAAATGGCATAATATATTAGAGTGCCAGGCTCAGTCTTCTTAACTGAGTCTGTGTGGAGTCCCATATCTAATGCTCACCATACTGGCCTGTTGGTACTGGGCAAGTCTTTTAATATCTAGGTGTCTCAGGTAACTGTCTGAGCTACTTAAGTGGTAGAGCTGATGTTGCCCAGCATTGGGAGAAGGAGTTATATTGGGAATTCCATCTAGTGCAAAGAATGCAGCTGATAATTCTCCTGAGTGCAGCAGGAACCACATCAAAATGTAATTAGGAACTATTTAACAAAGTAACTACAAATATAATAGAGCACAGATTATATTAATATGTAGTTTTATAAGTCAATATGCAGAGAAAGGGAGGCAGAGAGACAAGGAGAGAAAGCGAAGGGGAGAGAGACAGACACAGAGAAAGAAAGAGAATGAGGGGAGAGAGACAGAGAGACATAAAGGGAGAGGGAGAGAAGGCAAGTGTGCAACGAGAGAGGCCAAATTCCACCCCTCCACTTTTTCCCTACCTCTCTCTGTTCTATAAAATTTGCTCTTCACCTATGTTTTAATATGCTAGCCTTTTCCTATCAATCTTTATCTCAATAAGCAAAGACCTCTTAGATGCTGTTTACTACATTTAATTTTACTGAGGAAGTATGGTCTATTTCTTAAAAGTTTTGTATCAATATGATATTTTTTAATGTAATAGTATATTACAATTAGTAATTGTAATATAATACATAATTATATAATGTATTTGTATTAGTAACTTATTATAACATTGTCTTATTACTATTTTTCTAGAAAAGAACTGACCACAAACAGTGTCTTTATTGAACTTCTCTGTGGTGGATGGGGGAGGATTTAAAAAGACCTAGTTAAAAGGCTAGCCCTGTAACATATTGTTTTTGTTTTATTTTGTTTTGTTTTTATTTTTTGAGAATATCATGATAGTGAAGGTCTCAGGTATTTAAAACAGAGATTGAAAACCTAAACCTCTGATATTCTCCCAGGCACTTTGGTGGTTATATATAACTTGAAATTAATGCTCAATGGAGAACCGGAACTGGACATTAAAACCAGCAAAGAAGATATTCTGATAGCTGGGGTTTTTGAAGAGTAAGTAATATTGAAAGTGTCTTCTGTAGATAGACTGATAACTTTTATTAATTAAACAAACATAATATATAAAGTATCTTTTGTGTACAGAGCATTTTGCTAGGTTTTGGGAGACATAAGAAGTTTAGATAACATGTACCAGTGTTTATGAAGTTTGCAGCCCTCTAGAGGGAATTGACACATATACCAGTCATTTTAATAAAAATGTGAAATATAGTGCAAACAAAGTGTTTTGTGAGACCAGAAGGAAGAGAAAGGCCCACAGCAAGGTGAATCATGGAAGGCTACCTGGAAGAACTGGCATTTGAGTTGGACTTTTTTTTTCTCTGTCAGAGAAATAAATAGCAGGGCCCTTAGAAACAGTATGGCACAATGGATAGGGTACTGGATTTGGAGTCAGAAAAATCTGGTTTCAAATCCCACCTTCAATACATATTGACTGTGTGAATCTGGGCAAGTCAGATAACCTATTTGTGTCTCAGTTTCCTTATCAATAAAATGAAAGGGTTGGACTCAATTAAAGGAATTTGTTCCTTTCCAGAGCTGTCCAAAAGTAAGAATGGGCTGCCCTAAGAAAGTAGCTTTCCCCTTTTTGGAAGACTTTAAGCCAAGGCTAGGTGACCCCTTGTCAGATATGTTACACTGAGCTGGATTTGATGGCTGCTAAGGACCCTTCTGATGATTACATTCTGTGAAAGACCATTAGTTTTGGTAATTAGAAGATCATTCATGATTTTCAGCAATGTAGCTTCAGAGAATACAGGATAGAAACTAGATCAGAAGGGTAAATGATGGAATGAGTAGTAAAATAGTGGAGAGAACATCAATAGCTTATACTCTTTACAAGTTTGATCGTGAAAGAAAGAAGAAGGAAATGAGGTAAATGAGATAATGAGAGGAGAGAATAATGGACTTCTCTAAACTTATTCAAATGATCTGTCCCGGATGAAATATCTCCCATGAAATTGAAAGAATTTGCAGAGATGATTGCTGGGACATTTCCATGTTCCTTGAGGAATCATTTTAAATTGGAGAAGTGGCAGAGATAGGAGATGGGCCAATGTTCCAATTTTGTAACAGGGGAACAAGGGGGATTTTGCATACTATAGACTATTAAGCTTGATATTAATTCTTAGAAAAGTCATAGTAGAGATTATTAAGTGAATATTTAGAAAGAAATTAGTGGCCACTAAGAGCCAGCATGGATTCACTAAGAACTGGTCATAGCATGCACCTCATTTGCTTTTTTGGAAGGGTAATTAGCTTAGTAATCAGGGAAATGCCACAAACATATTAAGTATCCTTGAATTTCAGGGAGGCCTTTGATAAAAGTTTTTACTCTATCTTCATCGACAAGATGGGGAGAGTTTGACTTGGAGTTATTGCAGTCAGGGAGATCAGCAACTAATTAAAAAACCAGACCCTAAGATTTTCCTACTGAATTTGGAAGAACATTGTCTTCTCTCCTCATGCCACCTCTGCTACCTCCAGTCCCTCCTTGGGAATGGACCTTTCATCATCTTCCACTGAAAAAAAAATTGACGCCATCTATCTTGAACTCCCACTTTTACCAATTTCTGGTCTTCAAATGATGTTGGCATTATCCCTTTTTATTTACTCCCTCTTTATTTACTCCAGTCTGAGAGGAAGAGTTGGCTTGCTCTCCTCTCATGCCCTTTATGCCCTTCTTCTTACTTTTCCTCTGGGAGATTGTTGCTTTAATTATCCTCTCTCCCTAATTTTCAATCTAAGTTCCTCTTCCACTAACTCTTTCTTTCTTGACTACAAACATGCCCAGAATTCTCCCTTCCTTTATAACCTACTTTCATAGCCAAACTCCTGGACAAATCTGTCTATTTGTGATGTTCTTAATTTCTCACCTCCCACTCACTTGTCAACCCTTTGCAATCTGGCTCCTCTTTCCATGAAGCAACTGAAACTGTTCTCTCCAAAGTCATTGGTGATTTCTTTATTACCAAATCCAAAGATCTTTTCTTGTTGACTATACTACTGTGGCCCGTCTGCAGCATTTGACCACGTTGATCACCCTCCTTTTGGATATTTTTGGGATAGTCTCCTCCCTAGGTTTTTTGTGACACTGCTATCCCATCCTACCTGCCTGACCCATCCTCAGTCTCCTTTGAAGTGTTATCATCAGTGTCTACCCTTTATATATAGGCATGGGCCCTTTGCTTCTCCTTTTTTGCATTCCCTCTTGGCAATCTCATCAACTCTCATGAGTCTGTCTCTATGAAAATGACTCCTGAATATAGATGTTTACCCCACATAGCTGTCCACAGTTCCAGGCCCTCATTTCCAACTCTGTGCTTAACATTTCCACCTAGATTTTCCATCGGCATTTCACATTGAAGTGCTCCAATTTATTCACTGTTTTTCCCCCAAAACCCATCACTTCTTAACTTCTTGATTTTGGTGGAGGGCACCACCATTCTTCTGATCACCTGTGTTCAAAGTCTAGGAGTCATCTTTACCTTTCTGGTCTCGCTTACCCCTTTCTCTCCAGTCAGTTGCTATGTTGATTCTACCTCCACAACATTTCTGACATTCATTTCTTCCACCTGTCTCCCTTACCTCCAACAAATACACATTCATACTATAACCATTGTCTTTCAGAATTTCTTCATCTTTCATCTAAACTATTGCAATAGTGTCCTGTTTGGTCTCCCTTCCTCTAGCCTTTCCCTTCCCCATTCTCTATAAACCTGCTAAAATGAAATTCCTAAAGCACAAGTCACTTCTCTATTCAAGAAGCTTCAGCGGCTGTCAGTTGCCTCAAAGCTCTCCATTTCCTCTGTTTGCGATTTAAAGCATCTCACACTATAGCTCCAACTTCTCTGTCTATTAAGATTATTCATTATTCCTCCTCTCACACTGTGTATTCTCGTCAATTTTACACACTTGCTCTTTTCCATTCTTGACATTGCATCTGCTGCCTCCATTTTATTCCATGAGATCTTCCCCCATTCCTGGAATGTTCCCCTTCCTCCTCTCTGCCTGTTAGAACCAGTAGGTCAGTCACCAAGCATTTAGCTCCTGTCAAGGCTGAGCATAGTGTCACCCCCAACAGCAGGCCTCTCTTGATCCTCCCGGTTCTCGGTCCTCTATTCACCCCACACAAGCCCCAAAGATACAGTTGTCATTCAGTAATTTTCAGTTGTGTCCTACTCTTTTGGGTATGGAGTGGTTTGCTATTTCCTTCTCCAGCTCATTTTTTACAGAGGAGGAAACTGAGGCAAAGAGGGTTAAGTGACTTGTCCCGGGTCAAACAGCTAGTAAATGTCTAAGTCCAAATTTGATCAGGTCTTCCTGATTCTTGGCCTGGTGCTCTATCCACTGTGTAATGCATTTAATTTGTAAAAATTTTTTTATTTGTTTGCCTGACACAAAGTAGGTAAATACTTGTAGTCCCAATAAGATATGTTCTCCTAAGCTAGTGACTGTGTCTTTTTTTGTCTTTTTGTCCCCAGAGCCTAACTAGCTTAGTCCCCTGCATGTGCCAGACTCAGTGCTTATTTGACTGATTCAGACTGAAGGGAAGTCTCTTGTGGAGAGCCACAGGACTCCGTAGTTGATCTAGTTTTAATTAACATTTTTATCAGAGATAAGACAAAATGGCATGCTTATTTAGTTTATTGATAATCTGAAGTTAATATGTTAGATTACAGATCTAGAATCCAGAAATACATCCAACAGCTGGAATGCAGGGCTGAATCCAGAAAGATGAACTTCTTAAGGATAACGGTAAAATCGTAGGATAGACTTAGGAGGCCATCTAATTGAACCCCATTTTACTGATGAGGAGACTGAGGCCAGTGGAGGTCAAGTGACTTGACAAAGTTCACACAGAAAGTATCGGAAGCAAGATTTGAACCTTGACCCCAGATGTTCTTTTCACTATTCTATAATTAGTTTAAAAATGTGCAAATATAAGATAAGGAAGAAATGGATGAATAAATGAAAAAAACATATTAAACACTTAACTATATTCTAGGCAGGGCAGCTAGGTAGTACAGGGGTTAGAATGCTGGGTCTGGAGTCAGGAAGACTCATCTTCCTGAGTTCAAATCTGGCCTCAAACACTTACTACCCATGTGCCCCAGAGCAAGTCACCTAATCCTGTTGGCCTCATTTTCCTCATCTGTAAAAATGAGCTGGGGAAAGAAATGGCAAAACACTCCAGTAGAGTTTCTTTGTCAAGAAAACCCCCAAATGGGGTCCTCAAAAGTTCGACATGACTGAAAACGAGCTGAACAAAACCAAAATATTCAAGACAGTATGCTAGGTGCTAGGGATACAAATAGAGAAACAGAAACAGTTTCTGACCTGCAGAAACTTACATTCAAATAAAATACATCATATATAAAGGAATTCCAGAGAAGGGAGTTTTGTTATGGGAAGCAGGAGAGATGGCGAGTTGATATATAGGGAAGTTAATGCCTTTACCAGAAGTGTTATGATTGAGTATGATTATATGATATAATATGATTACTCTGCCCAGAGAAAGAGGTTTTAAAATGATCATTGGCTGAGCCATGAACATAAGGGCATATAGATGGGAAGATGTCTGGATAGTGACGCATCACTTGGTTTCTGGTCCAGTTAGTAGATATAATGAGTTAAGTAGGCCAGTTTGCACTGAGTCACCTGAGCTAGACCCAAAGGTGGGAGTCCTAAAGATCAGTGAATTAACTTTCCTAGGGATTGGGTTCATAGATCCTAGGGGTTTAGGGGGCAGAGGTTCAGGTTCAGTGTGAAGGGCACTTGTCCAGGTGGAGAGAGGTAGGATAGTGATGTAGACAAATCATAATGTGACCTTAGTGGATACCTGGATGGATGCCAGGGTAGCTGGGTGGGGTATGAAGATGACAAATTCATACAAAAAAGACCTGGGAATTATCGTGAATTTAAAACTCAATATACTTTAACAGTATAATGTAAAAGCCAAAAAAGCTAATGTAACATTGGGTTCCATAAGTAGA